GCAGGCCTAGACCAAGTACCTGAGGGAATTTCATTCCATCGAGAGGAAATTTGCTGGCATCTATTGGCCCTTATTGGAAAAGAGACGCCAGATCATCAATGCGCTCTACAAGCCCATGAAAGAGGAGTGTGAGGTGAAGTGCAAGGCCGAGGACAATGATTATAATGAGGTGGAAGATTATTCTAATGCTCAGATGCAGGGTCTGGAGGAGAATCCGGAGTATGAGGACTTGGAGGAATATTGCGAGGAAGATTTCGAGGATGTGGAGGAGGTGTTTGGGGAGTATGGAGGAATTGAGGGATATAATGTGGATGAAGAGAAAGAGGAGCCTACAGGGATCCCCGATTTCTGGCTCACAGTTTTAAAGAACGTCGAGGGGCTTCCCTGGTGGCGCAGTGGTTGAGAGTCCGCCTGCCGATGCAGGGGACACGGGTTCGTGCCCCGGTCCGGGAGGATCCCACATGCCGTGGAGCGGCTGGGCCCGTGAGGATCCCACATGCTGTGGAGCGGCTGGGCCCGTGAGCCATGGCTGCTGAGCCTGCGCGTCCGGAGCCTGTGCTCTGCAACAGGAGAGGCCACAACAGTGAGAGGCCCACGTACCGCAAAAAAAAAATAAAAAAATAAAAAGAACGTCGAGGAGATCTCTCCATTGATTCAGAAATATGACGAGCCCATTCTGAAGCTCTTGCCAGACGTGAAAGTCAAGTTTTCAAAACCCGACGAGCCGCTCGCCTTCACTCTGGAATTTCACTTTGAACCCAACGACTACTTCACAAATGAGGTGCTGACCAAAATTTATACGCTCAAGTCTAAGCTCCATTACTCTGACCCCCACCCTTTTAGGGGATCTGTGGTGGAGCACTGCATAGACTGCAAGATAGTCTGGAAGGAGGGAAGGAACGTCACTGTGCAAACGGTCCTGAAGAAGCAGAGGCACAGGTTTTGGGGACTGTTGCGCACAGTGACCCAGGAATTTCCCCTAGGGTACTTCTTCAACTTCTTCAGTGCTCTCCGGTGGGGTATGGATGCCGATGAAGATGAGGAAGACGTCTTCATTGCTCACAGTTTGCGCACCTTTGTCATCCCTAGAGCTGTGCTGTACTTCACAGGAGAAGCACTTGAGACCGAGCAAGAGGGGGTGATCAGGGAATGTAATGAGCTGGCTTATGACAAAGTCACTCATGAGAACGGGTTGGCTGCTGTTGAGGGTGCTAAAGGCCAAAGCCTGGACTCTCAGGAAGAAGATATTGATAGCTGAAGCAGGGAGGTTGATGTATGTGGGCCCCCAGGTTAAGAGTCTGCCTGTGTTTACAGTAACCAAAACTTAACCATAAGTTACTTACAGTCTTAAAGTGTTTTCTCTTCCTGGTACTCTCAGTATAAAACTATGTCCAAATATATATTTTATTTATTTTTTAAATTTTTTTTGTCCAAATATATTTAACAACGCATTCCATCTAGCACTCCAGTAGTGTAAACTTTTTAAAGAGATGTAGAAGGCAGTGAATTCTCTAAGCATATGTAAACCTTGGTATTGTGAATTCATGGCTTTTGTCAGGTTGCTGTTAGTTTCCAGCCATGAAAAATTACCAGAACTGGTAACTGAGATATATGTGTTTGGAGATTTTTTTTTTTCCTGGAAAAAGCAAAGCGAGATTGCCTCTGCTCCCCAGCCTTCTTGGTGAATGGGCTTTATTCTGTTTGCACTAACTGTGCCTTCAACTCTTTGTTATAGAAATGCAGCAAGTTATACTAAAATGCACTTGATTTGTAATTTGAGAAACTACTAGCATAAGAATAAAACATTTGTAGCAAAACTACATTTATTGTTATTGACTGTTAACTTGTTTATAGGCTCCTGTATTTTATGTGATATAGTGATCTACTGAGAAACCCCGCTGTATTATTTTTTATCAGTGAGGTATAGTTAAAACAATTTTCCCTAAATCCATAAATTGTGCCATGTACTTCTGCAAAGTGGGGTTAAAGTATGCATTTTCTTTTCTGGAATGTTCCTCTCTTTTATGGAAATTACATGATTAGTTAAGCTTTTTCCTTATGTTTGTTCATTCTAAAATAAAGTTAATACAAATGTTAAACACTGTGTTTCTTCTGAGGTTATTGGAGTTAAGGATATGGCCTTGTCCCTTCAAGTACCAGCTGGAGGATTTGGTTGGGAGTTATTAGCAGATCAGGTTTATCCTTTGGGTATAGTATGCACTGTTCCTAGGGCCCACTACACTTTTTTTTTTTTTCTTTTGCGATATGAGGGCCTCTTACTGTTGTGGCCTCTCCCGTTGCGGAGCACAGGCTCCGAATGCGCAGGCTCAGCAGCCATGGCTCACAGGCCCAGCTGCTCCACAGCGTGTGGGATCTTCCCGGACCAGGGCACAAACCTGTGTCATCCTGCATCGGCAGCCGGACTCTCAACCACTGCTCCACCAGGGAAGCCCCCACTACACTTTTAAGAGTCTACAATGATGTTCTGATTTGTTTTAAAATCAGAAGAAAATGAATATTATAATAATAACAATGTATATATAATAATCTGTCCTAGATTATTTTTGTCTTATACCAAAAGAGATGTAAAATATTATTCCTTTATGTATATATGAATATCATAGAGAAAAAGGTACCAAGAAGGTAAAACTACCTAGACTCCATGAAAATCACAGTGAGGCCCTGGTTTCCACCATTATAAATAAGTGAAGGAGGGAGTTCATGGAGTTGAGAGGGGTGGTAATGTGACAAAGGAGAAGAAAAGAGGGAGGGGAAGAAGGAAAGAGAGGGACAAGCAGTGATGTGTTCTTCAAGGAAAGGGGAATAGAGGTCCTCCAGGCTCATGGAGCAATGAATGTCCTGACTAGCTGGAGGGGAGAGGGTTAACAGAATGCTGGAGAGGGAGAGGTGGGGCCAGAGCCCTGTTTGGACAAGGCCAGGGACAAATTGGAGTGGACTTGGCAAGGGAGAAGGAAAAGGACTGGAGAGGACATAGGAGGGGGAAAGGAAGGTAAGGACAATGAATGAGATGTCTGGAGGACAGAAAAGCAGAGGATGAAAGGGTGAAGCTTATTAGAGATGAAAAAGCATTCCTTGCCATGAGGTTGCTGAAGTTCAGGTGTTATGGTTTTGGTATATTTTGCAAAAACTTTAGTACCCTGTCCAGGAAGAGGGACCCGAAGGGGAACTAGAGGAACATCGGTCTGTTGTAAGTAACCTTTAATCATGTTCTTTCGTTGCCAAAATACATACACATATGAATTAACTAATTTTTGGTAAACACCTTATATTGTACTATTTCTGTGTGCCAGACACTGTTCTAAGCACTTTACAAGTATTATCCTCTGTAATATTTATTTTATAAATGAAAACGTAGTAAATGTAGCAGAGAAGAATTAATTATAATACCAATTAATACTTTCTTCCAAACCCCACTTTAACTGTTGACAAGCATACAATTTTGTATCCTGCTTTAAAAAAAACCCAAAACTTACCATTATAGTATTAGTGTTTTCCTGAACTTTAATTTACATTTTAAAAGCTTAATTATTAATGATCATGCAGTATTCCAATGTATGAGAGCACAATTTAACTATTATTTTAATGTTGGTTATTGGTTTCTAATTTACATAGTGAAGTAGGCAAATGTTCTATTTTCTAATATTAAGACTTTATTCAAGTTTCTTCTTTTAATTTTGCCTTCTAAGGCTTTTGCAAACTCTCTGAGAGCTAAATGGCAAATCAGAAGCAGGAATCAAATCAAATCGTTGATTAGCCAGAAGTTCAATGAGAAATATAGTCACTAGACTGTAACTTGATCTTTCACATATATAGTCACAAACCTTTCCTACTCAACATATATAACAAATCCTTTCCCTGCTCCCTGCACCAAAAATTTTTCACACATATTTTGAACATGCAAGAACTTGAGAAATAGAGTTCTCTTGAGCCTTTTTAGGAGAATGATAAACTTTAAGCCACACACACACAAAAAAAAATGAATGGAGGATCTAATGCAAAAGTACCAATGGTGAGCATTAAATCAACTTAACTATAGGACTAAGATTACAAACATATATGGTTAAACAGAAAACAATTTAAATTTTATGAGCACTATCAATGTGAACATAATATAACTAGCAAAAGTTGGGACTAGAAGGGGGATTTCTTTTATAGCTGGGGATCAAAAAGTCTGGCAAGTTAAGTAACAGACATAAGTATATATTTAAATAATGCCCTATGAAAAACAGTATAATCAACAAAAATTAGATACTGATTTTTTTCCTATCATTGCTCATGATAACAAGTCAATAGATACTTTTTAAAGAAATCAGTAATTAAACATTAAATAAAATTGTGTTCATAAATGTAATAACTAGAAAAATGGCAAATTTTCCAAATTATCAAAAGAAAGATTCAAAACTAAACTAAGAAAATAAGTACTGTATAATAAATAAGGAGAAAAAAGAAAAACAGAAAACCTAAAACAGATGTGGTTAGTGAAATAAGATATAACATTTGACTCTCCTTGTCTGGAAAATGCTTCTTTGGATATCCTCATGAATATCTCTCACCTCTTTCAAATATCACTGTCTCAATAAGGCCTACCTTGACCACCTTACTTTAAATTGTATGTGCTTCCTACATGTACTCACAATTTTCCCTTATACAGCTTTGACTTTCCCCCATAGAAAATAGCACCTTCTAACTCACTATATGATTTACTTATTTGTTATTTATGGTGTTGATTGTCCTTTCACAGGAGAATATAAGTCTTGTGAGAGCAAGGATTTTTGTTCATTGATGTTCATTGATTTTTGATCCTGGTTCATCGATGTATCCCAAGCACTTATAATGGTGCCTGGCACAAGGTAGCTGCTCAATAAATATTTGTTAATTATATTATTCAATATCTGTCTTACTAAATGTGAATGGGATAACTCATCTAGGAATTTATCCTACAAATATACTTTTGAAAAAGTACATGCTCAAGGATATTTACTGTAGCACTGTTACAGTGAAATAATGGGAAAATGTTCAAGTCCATTGGTAAGGTCTATTTACATAATTACAGTCCATCTCTACAGTAGACATTCTTTTTTTGTCACTTTATATTTTTATTTTATTTTATTTTTTACATCTTTATTGGAGTATAATTGCTTTACAATGATGTGTTAGTTTCTGCTTTATAACAAAGTGAATCAGTTATACATATACATATGTTCCCATATCTCTTCCCTCTTGCATCTCCCTCCCTCCCACACTACCTATCCCACCCCTCTAGGTGGTCACAAACTACCGAGCTGATCTCCCTATGCTATGGGGCTGCTTCCCACTAGCTATCTATTTTACGTTTGGTAGTGTATATATGTCCATGCCACTCTCTCACTTTGTCACAGCTTACCCTTCCCCATCCCCATGTCCTCAAGTCCATTCTCTAGTAGGTCTGTGTCTTTATTCCCATCCTACCCCTAGGTTCTTCATGACATTTTTTTTCTTAGATTCCATATACATGTGTTAGCATATGGTATTTGTTTTTCTCTTTCTGACTTACTTCACTCTGTATGACAGACTCTAGGTCCATCCACCTCACTACAAATAACTCAATTTCATTTCTTTTTATAGCTGAGTAATATTCCATTGTATATATGTGCCACATCTTCTTTATCCATTCATCCAATGATGGATGCTTAGGTTGCTTTCATCTCCTGCTATTGTAAATAGAGCTGCAATGTACATTTTGGTACATGACTCTTTTTGAATTACGGTTTTCTCAGGGTATATGCCCAGTAGTGGGATTGCTGGGTCATATGGTAGTTCCATTTGTAGTTTTCTAAGGAACCTCCATACTGTTCTCCATAGTGGCTGTACCAATTCATATTCCCACCAGCAGTGCCAGAGTGTTCCATTTTCTCCACACCCTCTCCAGCATTTAATGTTTCTAGATTTTTTGATGATGGCCATTCTGACCGGTGTGAAATGATATCTCATTGTAGTTTTGATTTGCATTTCTCTAATGATTAATGATGTTGAGCATTCTTTCATGTATTTGTTGGCAATCTGTATATCTTCTTTGGTAAAGTAGCAGGATACAAAATTAATGCACAGAAATCTCTGGCATTCCTATACATTAATCATGAAAAATCTGAAAGTGAAATTAAGAAACCATTCCCATTTGCCATTGCAAAAAAATGGATAAAATATCTAGGAATAAACCTACCTAAGGAGACAAAAGACCTGTATGCAGAAAATTATAAA